AGATTTAAATATGTGAGCTCTTTAGAGCAGCAGCGGTGGAAAACATAATCCAGGTAACAATGTATCTTATTACATTGGCTTTGGTATCTATCACTTCACTACTGCCTGAAGCACACTATTACTTTAAGGCTGCTTGACTTTCTTACTAGATAATTCTCTATGTGTTGAGTGGTTTAATTCACTGAAAAGAGAGAAATGGTGAGGGGTGGCTATTAGCTATCACTGTTCTTGAAATCATTCTTTTCTTTTTGTAGCATACTGTCATCGTGTTTAAAAAAAATTTTAAATCAATTCATTTTAACATTTTGTACATATGTCTCAGTTTTGGTAAGGTATTCCTACTATTAAATACACTAATAAATTCCATTCATTCATAATTTTAGAACTTAGAAAATACCCCAGGGATTATTCTCTATAATTTGTTCCGGTAATGAGTTTTATATACATGGACTCATTAACAAAAACACTCTGTAAGATTTCCCAGAGCAATAATCTACAGACCTTCAACATAGGCCATTAACAAAAAATATTTAAAAGTGAAAATATATGGCAAATAATTAATTTTGTTTTCAACAATTTCAGATAGATTTTCAAAGTTTTTAAATTAAACTTGTTTCACTTATTTTGCTTTATAAATTACAGGAAAAAGAATGGGTGTTTTCCAATTCACAGAAACACCTGCCTACCTGTGGAGTCTGATGGTGAAGGGTCTAAATGCAGCTCACTAACAGAACAAATCCTATTCTAGCTGATGTTCCGTGAGCCATGTATACTGCCAAAGGGGCCCATCATTTAATATAAGCAGCAGTTTACATACTGTATTTCAAGTTTTTTTTCAATTTGTAAAAACGCATTATGACAAAATTTGAAGCAATGAAATGTTACAAGAAAAGTTCAACGTTATAAACAGTCTAAATAAAGCAGCTAGGAACGTTTATTAGAGATTCCAATCAACAAACAGTCTATGCAAAACAGTTTACAAGTGTTTCAAAAAGGAGCCCATAGATGGCTACCACACATGTATGATTATGTGAGAACCAGTTTTTAAAAAAGCAATAGATTTCTTCCTACGTTTCTTAGTAAAGACAGTCACTAACACTGACTGTTCAAGGTATGGTTAATTTTATTCCTTAAACTCTAGATTTGCCAACATATATTTTTCAATTTGTAGAAACACAACATGGATTCCCTTGCATTCCAATGAGGCTTTTTGTTAATGTCTTATCTTGTTTAACTCTTCAAATGTTATCTGTATTGCAGAGAGATTCATATTTTTCTTTCTTTAAATCTATATTACAAAGGGCTTACTCATCATGGAGGAGTTCTCAAATATTTACTTAGAACACTGGAACATGTGACCTCCTGCATGTGGCATCAATCTATTTATGCCCACCATGAAAAACTAAATAAATTTAAGCTTCGTAGAGTTATTATCTTACTACCCTCTTAAATTCCTGCTTTCTTTACTCATAGAGTACCACATTACTAAGTTATACAACCAGTACAGGCATATAAATAAACATATGCTAACTAGTATTCTTAGCGTTGATTTCTCTCTTTACACCAATTGTAAGAGTGCCCCAAAAGGCAAGAAAGACTTCTTACATTACTGACATTTACAGACAGAATAAATATATCTCCAAGTAAACTTTTGAGCCATAAAGAATAAGTTATTTTTATCTTAGTAACAATAAAAGGATGCCATAGCACCTGGGATATAGTATTGCTGAATAAACACATAGAGTTATATCTCAATTTTTTTCATTATCAAATAAACCAAATTATTTGTAATATTTCTGAAACCTCGAGTTATTTTGAGGCTTTGTTCAATTTTGAGGGCAGAATCAAACTGCCTTCATATTTTTTGTGAAATTCTATCTCTCTTCTAATAATATCTAACCCAATTATCACTGATTAATTATAATTAAATAAGTAAATATAAAAAGACACAACAAAGCCAGGCATGGTGGTAAATGCTTTTAAGCCTTTAATCCCAGCACTTGGGAGGCAGAGGCAGAGACAGGCAGATCTCTCTGAGATGGAGGCCAGCTTGGTCTACACAATGAGTTCCTGGCCAACTGGGGCTACAGGGAGACCCTGTCTCAAAACAAAGAAACAAAAAAAGACACAACAACTATTCTTACAGAACAGACTGGAGCTGTGTCACTAATTATTAAATGTTCAAACAGCTTCTACAATGATCAAATCTAACTTTGTTGTCTGAATTCAGAAAACTAACAAAATAATCGAGCAAGCATTCAGTATTATTGATGTGGTTTACGCAAAGATAAAGGGCCAAATGTCTAAACTTACATTTTAATTTGAATGACAACATAAAAGGAAAACAAATACCATGTGATGATTGACAGTTACCCAGTCATAATCATGTTTTTACTTCAATTTCCAATCCCAGTTAATAAACGTTCACTGTTAATTTATATCAAAATAGATTATGGTCTAAAAACATATCATTACGAATAATGAATTTGATTTCTGCATATAATAGTTTATACTACATATGACATTGCAAACTTCCAGAATATTAAATAAGAAAATTGTTATATTAATTGCAACATTTATATGTGTGTCACATTCAGTAATGAGCAAACTATAAATGTTTGCAAAGTTTTCAGTTATCCATTTAAAACGACATGAAACACATGCTCAGCCACAAATGTAGTGTTATACAAAACAGATCAAGGCTGGACAACTGCAAGATGTCACAGGTTAAACATGCTCTATAAATAATTTGTTCTGGAAATAACTCCCATTCTTCTTGTATAAATAGCCATGTTTTGAGATTTAGCTATAGCATACACACTCCCATGTTCGAGGCATGGATGATAATATCCACAGGAAAGGTGGTTGGCAATTATATCACATCATTTATCACTCATAATTTTCAGGTTTGTGCAGAGATTTTTATTTTATAGGCATTGCTAGTGAATCAAAACTTGCAAAGCATCAAACACTTTATTGCTGTCTCTGTCAGGTGTCTTCTCTGTTCTGTTGATTGTTTATTCCTTTATGAACTACTTGTATTCTTCCCTTAAAGACAATCAAATACATAAAGGCAACAGACTCCCTGATTTACAGTCTTAATTCTATCCAAGAACCGGAGGGGTGTTAAATGTTTCCCTGTAGGTCTTCTTGGCCTTTACATGTCCACATATTAATGATACACAGAATTATATCAACCAGTAGCAGTTTGGTTTATTACACAGGACACGGTGAGTGGACTGACATAACAAGTGTGGGTCCTAAGTAACATTTTGACTACCTTTCTCTTAATCTCAGCCTATTGGAGAAACGATAGCTTTTTGTACTGCTGCATGTTTCCTACACCCATCACCTTAAAGAACCCAATCAATACAAAGCACAAATGTGCCAAAAGGAACTTGTCTATAATGTTCTTTGTTAAAACCACCATACAGTCGCAAATGAAAACACGTCCTGCCAAATATGTCAAAGAAACGATAACAAAGAAATGAACATCTTTAGGCTTGAATTTCAGTGCATCACACCTCCATTTGTCAACCTGTGGTGAAACACTCCTGAGAAGCCCTGCAAACGGGACCAAGTTTGCTGCCCCCATCTATGCCAACCACCGCTCTTAAGATCTTAGCAGTAATCACGTTGTTTGTGGAGCAGCCTACAGGAATGGATTCACCAGTGGCAAAACGAACCCCCGAGGAATCCATCGTTTTTAAAGGCTTTGAATTTGGTAACAAACAGGGAGTTTAGTTCAAAAAGGTAATGCCTGGGAGACTCCTCACGTTGGGGCTAGAAATGGTTGGAGGATATTCTTTAGAGGCCAAACATCCTAACAGCCCTCGGAAACAGGATTACAATTTCTGATTTAGTCTCTGCTACCCCATAGCCACCACCATTTAAGAAGTTAGCCTTCGAGCAGCTGGAACTGCGGACTCTTTCTCCAAGAACCGCACCAGGAGGCCACTCTGTAGTGGAACAGCGTGCTGGACATTGCCACCAGCTCCCCCACGTCACCAGTGGCAGTGGGACTGACAAGAGACCCCACCCCTGGCAGATTGGCTCCTTTGCGGCGGGGAGCCAAGGCCTGAGTTACGCAGTCTCAACCCGACATCTCACCTCTTCCAATCCAGTTCACCCAGGCGGGGAAGGGGCGGAGTAGGGATGGGGGCGGGGAACTGAGGGGGGAGGGGAAAAACCAACCCTGTTCCAAAGAGCCTGGATGCAGAGTGGCAGGACCCGGTGCTACACTCATGCTCACATACACATACACACAGTCCTCTGGGCTCCCTACTCCTCAGGTTCAATGCCAAGAGGCGACAGGATTAAAGGAAGGCAATGAAGACCATACTGGGTGGCGCGACAGCCCAGAGTTCCTGAGAACACTCGGAAAGGGGCAGGGTATGTTTCAGGGATCCTGAAAGTGAGAAAGTCCCAGACGTCTCTCCAACCCCAAAGCTGGATTTTCCGGCTAGCACCTGGGGTCGCCTTCCTTTCATCCCGGCTTGGAAGGGGAACCTGAGTCTCGCTACTCCCACCGTGCCCTCCCTGGTCTGGCCCAGAGCCCAGAAGCCAGCCCCCTTCAGCCGGGTTCCCAGGGGCTTCCAAGCCAGGAGCCCACTTGCCAAAGGACTCTGCTGGAGCTGCAGGGCAGGCAGGCAAGAGCATCTTGCACTCTCTGGCCCGCCGCGCGGCTCGTGTCTTCCTGTGTCGACACACCCCCAGTTAACCCCTTTCTCTGACAGGGCTCACAGTCACCGAGAGGCACAAGCTGCCTCTCACCATCCTACCAAGTCCATCTATTAAAACACTAGTTGATCTCTGCCTGATTAGAAAAAGAAAGCGCTACAACTCTCATGAGTAGCCAGAGCAGAGAAAGTCACTCTGCATGCCTCCCTCTGTAGTTTCCCTGGAGTTAGGGAATGCGGCGGGTCCCAAGCGAAACGAGGACCCTGGTCACAACCGGGGGTGCCGGGCACCCCACTGCCCCCTATCCCCGCGACTCTCACCTCCTTAAGTTCTTTGGCCACGTCCTTCAAGTCCCCCAGTACTAATTCCAGATCCTCCACGATGATTTTGATCTGTTCCTTCACCTTGGTTTTGGAGGCTGCCGGGGGTCCCTCGGCTGGAGAGGACGAGGAGGGAAGGTTCCCCTTGGACTTGGCTGACATTCTTTGGGGGCGAGCGAGGCAGGTCAGGACAGGCGGGCGAGCGAAGCTTGCTGCGCGCCCCGGTCCCTGGCGCTCCTCCGGCAGCTCCCACCCCGGTCCCCCGACATCTTAGCTGCTCCCCAGGCAGCGGCGAGTGGCCGCGAGATGCGCTCGGCCGGGCGGCTGCACTGTGGTGCTGCCATCAACTCCCCGAGACGCGGCGCTCGGCGCGGGGCTGCAGACGGGTGAGCAGCGCGCCTGCGCCTCCTCCCGCCGCCGCCCGCCGCTCGCGCGCACACTCGCGGGTGGGGAATGTCAGCTGCAGGGCCACCGGCACATCCCGCTGGGGTCTCGCGCAGACCACCTTGACGTCGTGGTTCGCTTGCTGCCTGTCCTCACATACTGATCTTGACATGCCTGACACCCCCCCACCCCCACCCTCACCCCTGCAGCCTGCACCGTGTCCTCTCCCAGCCAGCTTCGCCCGCCCCCAGAGACCCGGGTCCATTTAGAACCACAGTAGGATCAGGAGTTGGAGTCGGGATCTGTACAGTGACTCTTAAGCAATTATCTAGGACCAGCTAATGTCCAGGGACCGCCAATCATTTTCCCAGCTGCCTGTGGCGAGTTAAGCAGACTTTTGCAGGGGTTGGGGTAGGGGCCATAAGAACCAAGCTCAGCCCCTGGAATCCTGAAAATTGACTAGGTTCTTGAAAGAGGTAGGCTAACGTTGCTGATTCAACAAAGCTAATAGCAGATTAAAGTCGTCACACCAAAAATTCCCCCGGAGACTGAGTCATCTTGGTTGTATTTCTTGTCTGCGCCAATTCCTCCTTTATTTTTTCCTTCCTCTTTTCGTGACCCATGCTAGTGTATGTTTTTGGTGAGCAGAATCTCCTGGGAGAGATCAATAAGAGTTTGCCTCCAACTTCTCTTCCACCAATGTTTTTGCCTCTCTTTCAAGTCTAGTGCTACTAAAATAGGAAAGAACTTTCTACTGCTCTGGCAAACGGACCCAGCAAAGAGATGTTAATAGGACGCTTTCAGCTCATTCTCGGGAGGTGGCCGCCATTCTCATTAGCGAGAGTTTTAATTTCCTCAGTAGCAAACTCATGGGCTATTAGCCACTGACCTGGCAGGCTGGCTGTACCTCCCTTCCTTGGGCTCACACTCCTCCAGATCATTCTTTTAATAGACTTCTCATTTTGGTCCTGCCTCAGGAGGGCTTCAGCCCTTGCTTCTTACGTTTCAGAGGTGGTGAATGTACCTCGAAACATGAGGAAAACCTGACAGCTCTCCTCTTCCTAGTTTTCCAGGCTCCTACGGACACTCTTCAAGTCCTTCTTTTCAAGTGAGAGATTCTTCTGCACGGTTGTTTTTGAAATATCGCTGGAGGAAAAAAAGGGAACACAGACCTTTAGAAATGGCGTCAAAAGGATACAGTCCATCACTAGAAAATACGTTTTTTAAAAAAAAAAAAAAAAACTATAGGGAAAAAGAACGGCGGAAATAATGCTATTAGAGAAATAAAGTGCTTTTAAAAAAAAATCCAGTTCGCAGATTAGAAAGGAGGAAGAAAAAGGTGTGTTTGGATATGTTGAGTAACACATGCTTGAGTTCCCTGAATGGGGGAAAGAGTTGGACAGTTCTCTTCTTTTATAACTTCAGATTATTTTTTAAAGATGCAACCGTAAAACCAATTGCATCAGGTTTAAAAACACCCCCCAGTGGAAATTCCAGTTCACTAACGTTCTTCAGATTTTGGATCTGAAGAAGGAAAAAATGCTTAGAAATGGTAGGAGCCAAGGTGAGAAAGGGGAAGTTTTGACTTACAGTGAGGGAGGAATCCCATGGCCGCATTACAATTTATTATCAAATTATGGCCACGGCTATATCTATACATAATATCCAGCAAACTAAAAAAATAAAAGTCAAAATTAACTTCCAGGCCCACACTGAGAGAACTGGGAAGTCTGGGGGGACTAGTATCTATGTTTACTATTATCTTTCAGTTGCTAAGGATTGCTAAAAGCATATTCCCAAGATATTTCCTTAAAGAAATTTTTATAAATATAGGTGAAATGTTGTGGGGAAAGGGTAGACTGCAAAGAATATATGGCTACAATAAATCAAATCTATTCATTCCCTCTCTTGATATTATCATTATGGAAAAAATATTCTTTAGCACATGCCTGACTCTATTGGACAGCAGTTTCCATGATGTTTTAGAGTCAAATCATGAGAAGCAAAAGAAAAAGTGAGTAACACCTAATAAGATTTCTGAAGACTCTCAATGAAAGTGTTTATGAGGGGCTGAAGAGATGGCTCAATGGTTAACAGCACTGAATGCTCTTTCAGAGGACCCGGGCTCAATTCCCAAAACCCACATGTCAACTAACAATCGTTAACTCCAGTTCCAGGGGATCTGACGCCTTCTTCTGACCTCTGCAGACATTGCACCACACTTAAATACATCAAGCAATATACTCATACACATAAAATAAAAATAATTCAATATTGTATAACTGTATTGTTTCAACAGCGAACCTAGAAATTTTATAGCCACTTTTGAAGGATCTGTGTCTTTGCTCTGGAAACTGTTGTTGGGAATGTTAAAGCTGTAATGATATGCTTTTTCTAAAAAACATAAAATATAATATTAAAAAATGTAGGAAACAGCATATCTTGAAATGGAGATCTTCTTTAAAGGGCAAAATCTCATCCAATTTTATATCTTACAGGGTTATATGGAGTTCAATATTGTATTGCTCTGGAGTGTGTTACTGAATATGTTAAAGCTGTAATGAAATGCTTCTAATCATGTGGTTATTAAATTTTTTAAAAAATTAAAAAAATAATTCTTCAAAGCAAAAAATTTTTTTAAATATTTTTTTTAAAAATGTTTTTGAACTAGTGCTAGGTGAAATTGTGAAAACACCCAGACCACATTATAAATGTAGGATAACAGATTTAAAAGTGAAAGATAGTCTCACTTATTTAATGAAGTGTGTATTTGCCCAGAATTTCATGCTGATTTTTTTCCTCATTTTCTATGTCCTGTAACAGAAGGAACTGAGTGAGTATGGGAGCTCATACAGTGGGTGTCTCAAGTTTACAAACCCATGTTATAATTCTCAAACATTGTCTTTAAATAATTAGTTGTTGTTTTATTTTATATGTCTGAATGTTTTGCTTCCATGTATGTCAGTGCATCACATGGGTGTAATGCCCACAGAGGCCAGAAGAGGGCATCGTATCCCTTGGAACTTGAGTTATGAATAGTTGTTAACTGCCATGTGGGTGCTGGGAACTGAACCCAGGTCCTCTGCCAGAGCAGCCAGTGCGCTTGACTCCTGAGGTTTGTGTTTGTAATCCATTATAACTCATCCCCAAGGATTGACAGACAGAAGGAAACCTTGTGTCAACAAACTATTAAATCACAATAAGCATAAAATGGTACCAAAAATACTTTCTACTGTTTATTGGTCTTTGAACTTGTATTGATATTATTACTACACTACCATTTTGTACTATTACACTTTCACATTGAATTTTCAACAGAATAAAATGCACAGTAAAAAGTTATTCTCAATAGAAAACTTTTTTTTTCTTTTGAATGAGTTTATCTTTTTTGTAAGATCCAATTATTTGTTAAAGATATCAAGAAACAGGAGACATAAAGAAAATCATTCTCTTCATCCAAATAATTTTCACTGGGAGATGGAAGCACGAAGTTTTGGAAGAAGTGGAAGTCAAGAAGAAAAGATTTTGTTAGTGATTCATGTGAGAAAATTATAAAATTTTGCATTTATATGTTGACCATTGAGCATATTATATGTCCAGGCAGTGATTCCCAAAATCCAACATGCACAACAACTTTCCAGAAACATAGGCCAGTGGACTTCATTCCCCAGGTGTGTGACTCAGCAGGTCTGGAGTTTGTTCTGATCATTTTATCCTAACTGAATTTTAGGATGGTAAGTGACCAAAATTTTCAAGCCTCTGTTTGAAAAATGAAATTTTAGGTTTCCCTTTACCTTAGATTAGTCTTATTGATCAGATGTAATCATATTTTTTTAAAAAAATCCAAGACTTTGGAGAGGGAAGTGAAATGGATTGTCCAGTTTTTGTATATAGAGCAAAACAAAGTGAAAGTTAAAACCTCTTGTCAACTTTCACAGCTTGTTGAATCATTTCCATTAGTATGGATGATGTATCCTTTTATATATATCTGTTGATTTGCGTAGTAGTCAAGTACTACAGGAATATATTGGTTTAAAAATAATAATTGTTTCTTGTAGTATACTTAGTAAACAGAACTGTTTCTTTTGAAAGATAGCTTCTAATAAATACTTGTAATGAAATGAATACATGAGTGTTTTTTTCTATGAGTTTTTAAATTAATTATATTTGACAAAAATTTTTAACAGTTGCTTTGGACAAGAATTTACTCCATGTAGAAAACATTCCACTTTGGTAAAATACTGTCCCAGGAGGAATAAATTTTGCACACGAGTCTAATATAAAGTGATAATAACTGCATGTCTCTTTATACCCACTTTCCTAACCATAGTTAGTTTTACTGGGCTTCTGTTATGGTACGAATGTCTGTGCACTCCCCACCACATTCATGTGCTGATTTCTTAACAAAAAGGGTGATTCTATAATAAAGTAGCATCTTCGAGAGGTAATCAGGTCATGAGAGAGTAACCCTCATGGATGGTGTTAGAGGTCTTGTATAAGTGACCCCAGTGTACAGCCTTCTCAATACCATTAAGACCTCCACTTGTGAGAAAGCAGGCCTTCACTAGGTGTCTCATCTTTTATCACCTTCATTTTGAATTTCCAGTCCTCAATATTTTGAAATGTAAATTTCTTCTATATAGAAATGTGTGATATTTGATTACAACAAATTCAACTATAATAACCTTGTGTTTGTTAGTTAGGCAACTCTTTACTTCTATGACAGAAACTGAACTTTGCTCAGCTGAACAAATAAAGGTGAAAATAGAATTGTCTTCCGGCTGGGGATGTACAGCTCAGTGGCAAAGGAATTGCCTAGTAAGGACAAAGCCCTGGTTTCCTGATACACACACACACACACACACACACACACACACACACACTCACACACACATACAAATTAGGTATCAGGATTTCAATCCACATATATGAAATTATATATATATTATATATATTTCAATTCACATTTATGAGAGCAAGAGAGAGGAAATATACTTACATAGTATTGGAGTCAGAAATTTAAAGAATACTGAGAGTATTTCTTCTTCATCTCTGTGTTTCTTTCTCTTATAATCCATTCTCCACAAAGTTGAACCTTGGTGAACCTTGGTCACTTGTAAGTAACAGCGTTTATCTTCACTGCTTAGCCACTATAAAAGGAATGGGTCATC